TCTCTTTGTAGTTGTTTGGTGTCTGTTTGAGTGTCTCTGCAGCTGTGTGTGTTATAGGTGGATGATGGATGGCTCTCTGTAATAGGGATCATAATAGTGCTAATGATTATAGCATCTGGACCAAACTGACAGAAACTGACTGGTTGCCAGATCAGCTAGAGGGACGGATTAGTTCACCATCTGTGTTTGTTCGTTATCAACCTTGTGTCTTAGAAATTATGTTTATATACAATTAATTTGCAACAGCAAATATATTTTGAGATTTAAAGATTTAAATGTAATTTATAAAATGCGGTGAGACGCGGACACTAATAAAGCGCTTTCTAGCAATAAACATGGATGCCTATAGTGAAAAGTTCAACTTAAACATTTTATTTGTTTATTTGCTGCCTCCCAAACACGAGTTATATATCCTGTATCATAAAGAAATAAAAATAAATTAAAAAAGATCCAAACGTATCACCACATTTTATTGTATTGTTTTTATTTGTTTATGCTTACACTGATGCCAATAAAGCAAATTTAATTTAAATTTAATTACATTTTATTTTAGTGTTAAATTGAGTTAAATAAACTGAACTTGAGAACCAACACACGGAGAGTTTTAATCAAACATGTTTTCTTCAAACTATAAAAAACAATGCATGCTGGGAAGTCTGCTCTGATGCTGATCCTGTTTCTTTAGCTAAGTTGAAATAAATCAAACTTGTATATTTAAGTTGAATTAATGAGAAAACATTAGTTGATTCCACTAAATTCCTGTATGAACTTTTACAGTGCTGGCTTCCTCCCTCCGTGCATTTTATTTGTGCCTCTCTCCCAGTGCATGCTGGGATAATCCGCAGCCCTCTGCGACCCTGAGCAGGATGAATGTGTCCCACCTTGAGATCAGTCCACATGTTTCTACGTCCTGTTTCTGTACGGCAGAGAGCATCTGTCAGCCGGTTCTAAAGAGCTGCAGCATCGGGATGCTGCTTTAGGTTAAATATATTATCAATTAATATGTCAATTATAGATATTAAATTATGAAACACAGATTGCTTTGTTTGTAAAACGATTAGTTTTTCTAAAGAATGTAAATTATTATTAGTTAATTATTAAGACTCAGATGTGTAATTGTGTGTGTAATATAGATAAAAAATGTCCTTATAGCTGTGTACAATGACATTAGTGCGTTTGTACAGTATACAGCTTATATATATATATATATTATAATTACATCATATAACAATATATTGTAAATATTTTGGGGGCTTATATGTATATGTATATGTGTG